GAGTGCATTTAGCAGGCATGTTTTCACGGCGGGAAGTCCGAAGATGGTTGTCTAGTGGAAAGTGTCAGGGCTGTAAAGTTTACCAGCGTTTCAGAGGTCCTTGCTGCCTCCATCATCAAGGCGACTCATCGCTCTGATGTTGGTAATCTACCGGACTACACGGCGCTCCAGCCCAGAAGACAGGCATCTTCAGTGCAATTAGCGTTCGGGTCCTACAAAATATTTGACCAAATAAGTAACTATCAGCCTTACAAGGAATATCCTGTACCATAGAGTTAATTAGACCCATGAACAACCATGCAGCTCCTAGGAAACCGTAAGCAGGTAGTTGTGTTAACAGAAAGACTGCACATCCAGCCAGAAGTACAATAGCAGCAAAATATAAATCCTTGAGATCCGTTCAAGTGTCTAGTCGCGCGTTCAATAGGGTTTTAATGAGACACATAAACCAGAGGCCATGTAGCTGTCGAGAAGATCTCTTCCCCTTCAAACTGGCTACTCTTCGGAGTAGCAATTTCATCTGATGACACACACAGTTTAACTGACAATAAAGAACTCACTGGTTTCTATGCAATCAACACATTTGTTGCAGCATTCAAGTAATATTGTGTAGATTTAACGTGCGTCATTCTGTATAATTGAGAGGTAATATATTATCTTCAAAAGCAGCATCAGAAATATTTACGATTACGGTGTGTCTTAATAGAAATAACACTTGGCGCCAGATTAGTGTGAATGAAGATACTGTTAATAATGTAATTAGGCAATTCATTATATCAAGACGTCATGATCACGCCTTGCAAAGTTTTCCCAGTCCACTATCATTTTAGCTGTTTTTTATTCTGCTCTGCACAATATGTCGCTTAAAATAATTGGACGTTCTGCTCTTGGTTTATTTTATGCTCGACAAGATGTGTGCCCCCTTCCCCGCATATCTGAATAATTATAGTTGAATATTAGTAGCTTTTCAATTACGGAAATTATAAGCCTATTTACGTCATCCTGGAAATATAGGCCCAGGAATTTATTTTAACACAGAAAGAAATCTTAAAATACAAGTCAGCATACCAAATGTGAACAAGGATTTTAATTTTATTAATTTGTTTCGACAACTGTAAGGATTCTGTATGCCGCTAAAGCAGAAAAATGTAATGGAAAGAAAACCAAGATTAGATGGAAGAGTAACGCCGGCTGAATTTAGTGCCAGGAAAATGACGTTTAATGTGAGAGCGCGTTAAGTCGAACACTTTTCCCAATAGGACCATTTAAAAATGGGGTTGTACATATTTCGGTAAATTTCGCCGGTAAACATTCGGTTTAGCTGCCTGCTTATAAGTTAACTGTCGTTTAGAGGCCACAGAATTTCAACTGGAAGCACTCGAGGGATGAAGATAAGAGACCTCTACGGGAAGGAAAATGAGTCGGACGTAAATTAAGGGAATGGCTAGAACTAGCACGGCGTGAGGTCCAATGGCGGGATTCTATAGGCCTTTTAATTAACATTTGGGTTCCATAAACTCAGGAAATTTCTTGATCGGCCAAGTAATTATAAAGTTTTTAAGGAAGATTCTGAACTTATGAAGTTATTTTAGTATAAACATGATAAGTAGGCTATTATGTCTAAAGCTGAAAATATCTGAGGTACATCCCGAAATATTTTCAGTTTTATGAAGGTAAATAAACACGTAATTTGTTACAGTATAAAAGTATAAGCGTGTCTTACAAGTCTTGAGTTAAACAAATTTTTGCTCTGAGATGTTTCAACGCTGCGACTGTACGCAGGTTTGAACTTATGTTTACCTAACATCCAGAAACAAGGCCTGACACAATCTCCTTGCTGTGCAGTTACATCAGTGCATTGGAATACAGCACGCCTGTGTTAGTTCCCAATATTTTTCTTTTCATTGCTTCAGCAATCCAAGTTCTGGTGAATGTCACTTATTTTGTTTACACACTCAGACCTTTTAAGCACGCGGGCGGATTTTCTCCACAGCTGCAACAAACTATTAATAATGTGGGACAGAGGGTAATGTTATTCATACTAAGTGACTTGAATGGTATCTCCTGTGACAGTTAAGATTTAATTATGTACACAGTACATCAGCATTTTGGTTCCTATGTTGCTGTTACCAAAAGAAATGCTTTCATTGTGGTGAAGAGCTTGCTTGTCTGCTTCCAAACACATCGTTTGCTCTTTGTACCGAGAGAATAGAAGCACCTCTTAATACCATGACTAACTACACTTTCATGACACGTAGCAGTACAAGAAATGATAATAAACAAAGATAAATCACAAACATATTTAAATTAAAATTATTGAGTTGAAAGATTTGTGGCTGTGGCTGTGTTTGCGTAGGAGCAGGCCTGTTCCTCTAAGTCAGGATTATATTCTTACAAGGGTCTGCGTAAACATTTTTATTTTCATTTTTATTAATTTTCTTTTTGGTAAATACGGTAAGACGCTACTGGAACAATATCAGCTGGCAATGTATAAACTGAGAAATATGAAAAATAATATTGATAAATGTAAAGACATATATGACAGAATCGGCAAAGAAGGGAACGATATATGAGAACAGTAACATCCAAATAAAAGAAAAACATAACCATGAATGTGCAATATAAGCAATAATTTTAACCAAATTACCATGAAGTATACTATCAATGGTTAATAAGTGTAACGGCTATTCCCTGTAAATGAAGTATATACTTCTGTATTAGTTCTAAGTTTAAAACGTAAGAGCTCTTGCGAGAATGATGATCTTGGAAGATGGGCTAAATGGATGGGAGTAGAAAAACATAACCATGAATGTGCAATATAAGCAATAATTTTAACCAAATTACCATGAAGTATACTATCAATGGTTAATAAGTGTAACGGCTATTCCCTGTAAATGAAGTATATACTTCTGTATTAGTTCTAAGTTTAAAACGTAAGAGCTCTTGCGAGAATGATGATCTTGGAAGATGGGCTAAATGGATGGGAGTAGCAGGGTTATTAATAATTAAGAGACTGGCCCGCATTTATCTTTTTACATTAGGCTCTATGAATATAAGTTCTACGGAATTAATTCAATAAAAGAAGCTTATAAAATGCACATGAAGTTTTAGGAAGAACTTACGTAGACTACTTTAAACGTTTCTACTGCTTAGGGCTAAAATGAGTCTTAGCAAGAAGTATAAATTACACCCTGGTAATTATACAGGCAAATTGTGAAGGATAAACAGGCACTGAAAGTGATGAACAGTGACTGTAGAAAAATAATTGGAGAGGAGTGGTAATATTTGTTGAGAATTTTAATAAATTTAGCCATTACTAAAAAAACCTTTGAAACCGGAGCTTATCTAAACAATATTTAAATATTCAGTCAGTATCGCAAAGATAACATATCGCTTCACCATAACGAAGATCAACTGGTTAATGCTGATCAAGGATACAATCGCTGTTTGCTTTGAGAATCACAAGAAAATAAAAAATTCACGCTGTGAGAAAATTAATATAAGTCATTTATCATTAAAACGGATTGTACATACAGTTACCAATGGGCTTTAATAGATTACGCGCCAAAGTAATGCATTTAAATGAACATTCTGAAAGATCACAAAGTGGTTGTTCTGAAAGTTTCTTATAACATTTCAAAGTAACTAAGTATGTACTGTTAATTTCACAACAATAATGCGTTTCAGACTCCTTCAGAATGTACTCTGTGAGAGCGTGTCCAACTCCGAACAAAACGCACAACACACACGGAACGTTTCCTTCTTCAAAGTACAGTGTGTAAATAAAGAAGGAAGAATATCTTGCAGTAGTTGGATTGCCCTGACTTCTTACTGGTCTCTGTATTTAGTGATGTCGGCATAATGGAATGGTTTTTAGTGGTTCAAGTATGTGAACTTTTACCACAATATTCACATAATCCCTCCCTTTTGTTACTTCAATGTACCGGTCACGACAAATGAAGATTTAAGTCATCGAAAGTGAAGTCAATGAATTTTCTCGTTGATCTGCTTCAGAAATCAATATTCCTTCTCTATGTGAATAATTAAATGTCGCCACGACACAGTAATATTAAGCCGTAGCTTCTACTGATGCGAGTTCGAGAGAAACCCAGAATATTTGGAGGGAAAACACTGAAACATACGTCTCGGTATTTTGAGAATTATATGGATTTTCACATTAGCAAGTTGGCGAAACTGTTTGCAAATAACCCTTATGCTGGTTACGCCAACTTTACCTGTCACTTCAGCCCGGTTCCTGGGATGTACCTGCATTAATTTCCTGTCTGACATGACCGTTAGCGTAGGCGTACTTTGTGTTACTGTGTGATTCTGAGAAGAAAGCTCCCGCATGGGAGGAGGCCAAGGTTCGGCTTCGGGCTGTTGCGCCATAGAGCCAGTCAGTATGATTCTGAGGCCACTGCCACGAAAATTGTTCTAATTCAGAATAATATAAGAGTAAATATAATTTTTTTAGTGTTGGGGCATTTAATTCCTGAACTCTCTATTGCTATAAATAAAATGTTTCTTTTTTTGTATTTTGTCAGTTTCATGATTCCGAATGTTTGGGTGTTGATAGGATTCGAATGGCTCAGTACAGGGACAGGTGTTGAGCTCTTGCTAACACGCGAATCACAATTCGGGTTTCATAAAAATCATGAAATTTCTCGACCAACTGAATGACTACCAGCGTCTGTAATGACTTTCCTCCATGGATTCATTAAATTAATAGTAAGCCAGAGGTAGGTAGACAACGGACTCATGGTCGAGTCTCAGAATTAGTTCCACAAACTTCCTTTTCGCTACTCCAAGTTAACGTTTCCAAATAGGTTAACTCGGGGTGTTGTCCAATATGTAAAATACTTCAGTGACGTTTGACGGCCTCCAAACCATGCCGAAGATGTCACTAATATTTGCACTCACCGTTGAGATATGTAAAATACTTCAGTAACGTTTGACGGCCGCCAAACCATGCCGAAGGTGTCACTAATATTTGCACTCACCGTTGAGGTATAGAATGGCGCCTGATCGGCCCCTAGCGCCGGGAAGTACGCGGACATGCCGTCCGTGTAGGGCGCGCTGTACATCGAGAGTGCCGGGATGCCAGCAGCTCCAGCCGCCGCGACCCCAGCACTAGCAAGACGTTGGTAACTCAGCAAGTCGTATTGGCACGAGCAGACAGTCTGCCCCGTCAGCGGGTCCGTGAAGAGGGGTCGTCCTGTATCACAGCATCGGGTGGGACCGGGGACTACGACATTATTGGGGGGACTGCCCCCCGAACTGAGGGGACTTCGCACCACCGCGGGTTGCGGGCAGCTGCTGGAGACCGCCGTGGTACTACTGCTGCTGCACGCTGTGCCCCCAGGGGGGATGACGGCCGTCGAGGAGGGTGAGGGTGAGCTCTCTGCCGTCGACACCGACAACTGAAATCAAACGTTCCATAAATCGTTGGGCCAATATTGCAGATACGAAACTTAGTTCAAATATCTCTGCTCTTCCCTGTGGTTTTTACACAAGCCTACGGCAAATAAACGTGCTAACACCCAAGTAATAAAAGAAATTCCATTCACAAAACCTGTACGTATAAAACACCCCTTCTAAAACAATATGAATCCTTTTATTTTAGAAATATTTTTACATAACGCGGCGACAAATTACTTTTTACATTGCCACCGATTATAACAAAATTTAGAGAATATTGGCGCGCATAAGGTAGCCAAAAAATTCCTAACCCTATTCATGACGAGTTATATTTAGTAAGAATGTTTTATCTTGTTTGTATGTACTAGTTACCAGTCTAACCATGGCAAGTCAGACACAGCTCTCATTGGTAAAGAACCAAAAATATTTAGAAATGAGAACAATTTCTTCCGCTGACTTTGTTAAACACCATAGTTACATAGAGAAAAATACGCTGCTGTCTATGGACGAGAAATGTCGTTCGTAGCATGCAAGTAGTTGATAAACTAAAGATCAGCATTGTGCGATTTCACGTCAATTTTCTGCGACGCTTGAAACTTCAATGAACAGTGCACTTACGTAAGCGGTGAGATGAGTAATAGGAGCATTTAGTGCACTAACAACAGGGCAGTGATTGTACGCGATTTACCGCTCCGCGCTCCATTGCCGAATTTAATTAGAATGGATCACTGTTTGATAACTGTTAAATGAATCTTGCTGTCCGTTGTTAGCAATAAGTGCGTCTCTGTATATAATGGTTACCAAACTGGTAAATAATATGGACTGATGCTTTCAATGATTATTGCACAGTAGACTGACTTCACTTGTGAGGGGAACACGGGCTACTACAGCCGCTGCAATAGGGAAAGGCTTTTTGTACTGTAGTTTACTCCGTGCGAAATTGATTTCTGATGTTAAGAGACGTCAAAGGGACAAGTAGACCGCAAGTTAAAAAATCTGAATGCTTGCGTTTTCGTGTTCAGCAACAGTCAGCTTGTTGCACAAGCGTTTCAGTGGATTTGCTTTGGTTCTTATTTGTTCCTAGGTCTTTCTAAGGCCGAACCGTAAACCTTCCTTCTCTGGTAGTGCTTTCGCTTTATTCTCATGCAAGTTTCATCACCATCTTCACAAAAACCTGCAGTTGGACTCGTATTCTCAGGCTCTTCACACGTTCACCGTCTATTTCTGTAGTTGTCGTCTTAATATTATCTTCACATTTACGCATATCCCCCATCTTGTAGCCTGTTTAAATCTTTCTGCCGAACGTATGTAATTTTTATTTTTTCACAATTTTTCTGCTTGGATTCCCTTGCCATTCATGAGTGAGTGAGTCGCGCCTAATAACATACAAAAACTAAAAGCTATTTCATGTACAAGTGTAGACAATTCTGTCCCGACCGTCGTCATATACTAGGAGTGACGAGTGGATCTGAGGTGTCCGCGTTTCTCGTACATTCCGACTGACCTTTCCGGGTCCAGGAACATCTCAGGAGACCGGGTAGCCTAGGTATGGGAGCCAGGGTTTCGATTCCTGTCAGGAGCAAAACTGTGTCGATACTCGCTCAGCTTACTACCCAATGAGTACTCTCTGTAAAACGGCTCCTAACCTCCACTTAGAGCTGAGGTTAAGACTGCGTCCCTCCATACACATTTACCTTTACAGCCGAGTATCACTGTCAGAAGGTTTCCCTTTATTCTTCTCTTACCCCTTCGCCCCTTCAGAACCGATAATCTCACCACACCTCTAACACAGCTTTTCTGATGCTGCTATAGGTACTAAATCTTAACAAAGCTGTCATGGCCCCCTTGATCAGAATTTAATTTATAATTGATGAACGACTAATGTTACACTGATGGCCACGCCCATGATTTCCCTGAACGAGTCACAAGTGCTACCCTCTACATGTATTTCCATTATAATAATTTCTTCAATGCAAATGTGACCGGTGTAACGTCTCTATATTCCTTGTTTCGCAGACACGCCATCTGCACTGTTTTTTATCTACTTTTTTTTAAACCTGGCCTCACTAATGACCTTCCTGTAATATGCGTGCCGATCTTCATATTCGCACTGTTATGAACTTTTTAAAAAATTGTGCTGCTAACCAAATTCCATGCACACACATATCTTTCATACATGCATACAAGAATGCTCGCTATGAAGGGAAATAAGATTGTGAAATTTACAGATGGACTTGTTAGAGACAATAGTATATTCAGTTGTAAATGTGTGTTTACACAGTAAGAGATGAGATTGAAAAATGTAAATTCGTTTAGATATTTCAACGTGTGCTGGCCAAGGGAACCGAATATTTTCAAATGCGGCATTTAGTAAACCAATCCCATGCTACTGCTGAGGCCTGTTGTTTAGAAACACAGGCAACTTGCTGTGTGATTAGAATGTCTTTGGATATAAATTTTCGTATCTGCTTTTGACAAGGTTTAGTTGCATTTAGTGATGTTCTTCCGTGAGACCAAGTAGTATGGACTTCCTCGACATTAAACTTACCGCACATAATCTCCATATTCATGTTCATCAATCAGGAAAATGCTTCACAAAATTAGTAGATACAATCATGAAACATCTTTTACATTCATACATACTTCCAGTGTTTAATTATTGATATAAAACAGAAAACTTAACAAGTTTACATACTTCGTATTCGAAGTATATTGCATTACTTTCAGAAAGAAAAAAAACATGTTGCATATTTTACGAAGGCCTATTAAGTTACTGTAAAAATGTCAGGACCTTATATCAACCCTCTAAAACCCAGTGGTAAAGATTTAACCCACCTGCTTTTGACAGTCAGTAAATTATAAGTCACAAATTAATAAACATTGAAACTATAATAAAAAAAATACTTGTCGAGACGAACTACCAACCTAGCGTTCAACACACAACAGGATGCGTCCCTCAAAACTGTTAATGCAAAAGTTTAAATTACGTGATTTACGTGACTGGACCGTACGTTCACTTCCCTCTACCCTTGCTTCGTATGAAATAGCCTGGCAATGCATCACCGCATTTAAACTTCTTTTTCCTAGGGTCTTGCAGTTTACATCCATTCATAACGCTGCCCTTTCAAGAATAATTTGGTTGTAAATCAGATGAGTGTCAGACTTCTGGTTCGTAACTGCATACTGAACCTCTGGCAGTGCCTAGGAAACTTGTAGCATTGTGGACTACTGCAGAATATCGTGTGCAGGAGTGAAATACTCCAAGTAATTCAGAAAAATGTAAATGAACAACATGGCGGACTTGCGAAGTATTTTAGTGCCACAGCTCTAACTGTGGTGTGAAAAGTTGGAATTTGTGTGTTGTCGCTGCTGTAAATTTAACTAGAAAAGGAATATGGTCTTGTTTTGGGTAAATTCATATTATATATTAAATGACTAACTATAGTACACTGCCTTCTTCGGACGCTTAAAGTCAGTTCGCGTCTTTTATGGAACCAGAATGATCATTTCTTGAACGTGTTGACTGTAGTTCATATGCTTATATCCTTTTTATTAATTACAATTTTTGAATTTCCCTTGTATCTCCAAGTTTACCGAGTGGTCTCTTTCGTTTAGGTTCTCCGACGAAAATTTATATGAATGTCTCTATGCTTCAAGAAAAGATATTTTTCTGGGACACGTCATGTCATGTCATGGCATGGGCTGAATGAAGGTTTGCCAAACTTCTAATGAACCGTGGCCACATATACCTCTTCTTAGCCACTCGTAGTTAGAAATGGCGACGTTTCAGTGAAACTTCACGGCAGTTATTAGAAATGCTACTGCCTTTGTCGCAAACAGATTCACGTGTTACCCTACTCAGCAATGTCCCTTAAAATATTTATTTGTGTCCTATTTGTAATATTTATTCAGTTGAAACAAGTTTTAATTTGGACAATAACTACGTATTTTCCATTGTATATGATGATGCAATATTACTAAAATGTACTCGGGCTTCATGAAACACATTGGCTGGCCGCTGATTGAGAACCCAGCCTACATATGTTCAGTTTTATTTCATTGATTGAGCGTAGACTAGATGTCATGTTTCAAACTAATCTTAATGACAATTTTAATCTATCGTTATTTAAAACAAACCCGTAATCATCTTTGAGCCGTTTCGACCACATGGTTATTACGAACCATATATTTTGTATACCTACTTTTATGTATGAAATAACAAGTTTAGTAATAAATATTTTACTTGAACTTTAAAAAGTCATGATGCATGAATTCTGCCTAATTGTTCCACTTCAAATATAAAGACTTTTGTAATGAAATTACTCAAAAACAAACTCACATTTCCAAAGCATTCCCATGGGAGGAACAAAGGGTCCACTGAGTCATTTAGGGGATGCTCCATACCCTCTAAGCCAAAAGTGTGTCTTCAGTTTCAAATTTATAACAAACTGTGCGCAGGTATAAAAGCATCGAGTTAAGTGAATATCCGCAAACATTAAGATCCTTGTTGCTGTGAAGATTCTTTGGATGATTATTATCCAGCCTGTTCCTACGTCAACAAGTACTCATCGCCACCTTGATTAATGAGACAGCAAGCACCTCTGAAACCTTTGTAAACCTGAAATCAAACTTAGCTTAAAATAGTGTTCAGTGGCTGGTTCTTTTGAAAGCAACAGTGAACCCTGGAATTCCATAAAGTGGGGAAAATTTTCTTTAACAGTTTCTGAAGGACTGTGCTTCATGGGCTAGTAATTATTTAATTCATTCATGCAGCCCACTAACAATAAATAATTTAATTATCATCATCAATGTTGAATTACGGCGGATTTTTTATCTAGAAGCTTTAGAAATGTTGTAAGATTTGTGGTTTTCACAGCGGCGAGTATGAAGATTTCTTTCTTCTGGGTTGTTGCGCTGTGTAGTCTGGTCGATATTTACCAACGTTTCAGAGGTCATACTGCCTCCGTCATCAGAGTATGAAGATTTCTGTCTTCTGGGTTGT